CGTGCTGGAGTTGAACATCCTACATCTTGACTCAGAGACAACAGGAAGTTGACTGACTGTCACACTGAGTAAAGCTTGAAAAATGAGACCTCAAAGCCTGCCCTCACAGTGACACACTTTCTCCAACAAGACCACACCTACCAACAAGGCCACGCCTTCTGGGGCCATTTTCTTTCAAACCACCCTATTTGTGCAAGTCACTTGGTCACTGAGGGTGCAGCTTAGAGGAGATTAATGTATTTCTTCTTCTCTCAGGAAGTCCCACAAGGGTTGATTGTCATTAACAAGCCTGCTCCCTCCCCCAGAATCTTTCTTGCTTTCTGTGTCACCGTGTAAGCTCTGCCTATTGCGTATTCATCTACTATGAGACCCTCACCAAGACTGAATACATACTAGTGCCATGTTCTTTGACCTCCAAAACATGAACCTGGCATCACCTCTTTTCTTTATAAAGTACCTAGCCTTGGACATTTTGGTCTAACAACCAAAAATATGGCCCTAACAGGAAGCACTTTAAATCCCTAACAATAAGGAAATATATAAACAAACAATATATCATACAAAATGAAGAGCCACTGGTCCATGCAATAGCATCAATGAATCTTCTACATGTATTGCTCAACATGACATAGTATCTAAGTCTACCATGAGAGAATTCCCCTTGGAGTACTGCTGGTCTCTCCCTCCACCCCTGCTTTCTTCTCGTAAATTCAGTTGCTTGAGGTACAGTTAAGATTGTCTTCAAAAAATGTACTTATTTTGGCTACTCCATCACTGACTGGCTCTGCTGGTAGAATGTAGCATGCATGGAGGCCCCGCGGGAGAACTATGGAGACGCAGGTGTGGTGGAACTCAAAAAAGTACCCTATTAAAGTGCAGTTCAGTAAGTACAGCAAGTGTTCACACCCATACCAATCAAGACTGAGAGCATTGCTAATGGAATTTCCAGAAAGCTTCTTTGAGTCTCTTTGACACGTGTCCTCTCTGCAGATGACAACAAAACTGCTTTCTGGACTATAGATGAGCTCTGCCTTTGGAGGATTCTATAGAAATGGTAGGAAATGGCTCTTTCCATCACCAGTGTGTTTATGGGGCTCTTCTGTATTGTGACAGGTCAGCTGACCGGGACTTGTTAGTTCTGAGTTGACGAGACTGTGACAGATAATGGGGGTACCTTGACTAACTTATTCCCTATGCTATGATCTGAATACAGATGGCCTCTGGAAAATGCGGATATTGAGTGCTTGGTCCCAGATGCTAGATTTATTTTGAGTGTAAATTGAGGAAGTGAGGTCTAGTTGGAGGAACTAGGCGTTGTGGACCAATCTTTGGGTGTATCTTGCCTCGCCCCCTTTCTGTATTCCCATTTTCCAGCCAGGCGGTGGTGGCCCACGCCTTTAATCCCAGCACTCAGAAGACAGAGACAGGCAGATCTCTGTGAGTTCGAGGCCAGCCTGGTCTGCAAGAGCTAGTTCCAGGACAGGAACCAAAAGCTATGGAGAAACCCTGTCTCAAAAAATAAAAAAAAAAAAAAAAAAAAAAGAATGTATTCCCATTTTCCTTCTTCCTGGCTGCCGTGATGATACCACTGTTCTATTCCACTGTTCCCTCCTTGCCATGAAGGACAACAAAAACTGTGAGCCACAAGAGAAATAAAAAGTAACTAACAGTTGGCATTTGTATTGTTTCCAGTTTTAGTCTGTTGTAACAAAAGCTGACACAAGGAGTGTGTGTGTGTGTGTGTGTTCATGGACATGTATTTTCATTTCTCACTTATTAGCCATAGAAATATGTTTACCATGCCATGAAACTGACTGATGGGTCTCCCAGATGACGGCACCGTATGATATTCCTGCCAGAGATTCTAGCATTCCACCCAGTCTCATCAAGGCTTGAGATTTCACAGTCTTTCACATTCGGGCTATTGTTGTGGGTCTTAAAGTAGCATCCTGTGACTTTACTTTTCTACAGACTTCTTTTAAAATGCAATTCTTATCCTTATAGAAGGAGACCTAATACCTAGTAGAATGAGTGCATCCAACCGAGCAAGAGTCTGCACTGGGCTGATTCACGCATTCAATCAACAACCACGTACCACCTCTTAGATTCTAAGAGGGAGAAGTGGACAAACACGAACTCCGATGACTCTAAAGACTCGGTGGAGAGCAAGCAAGGTGTGAAGGACCCTAGAAAGCAAGTCTGGAACTCAAATATGATGCTATGAACGCCAGGGAGCTAGGGGATTGGTAACTCTGGAGGAGGCTGTGGGAGTGTGTGTCCTTACCCACCTGTGAGGAGAAGCATGCCCCCAGGAAGACTGTGACTGTCTTATGTCTCCCCTGCTCTGAGTTACTTCTGATTCTCAAGTCCAAGTTTGGGGAAGCTCAATCAGCCTTCCCCATCCCCCACCCCCTGCCAAGGAGGCAGATCACTATCCCTGCCTGCTTCTTCAGAACATGTTGTTCCCACCGCTTGTGACTCGTCATCAGAGAAATAGTCTCTGTGCTGATGGAGTGTCTTTTAAATGAAAGCACTAGGGATGTGGAGCTGGTCATTAATTTTAAGTGTGTCTATTGTTAGTAAATGATGTCACCACTGAGCTTGCCAAACTGTCACAAGTAGTCTGGATGTCTTTCAGGGTTCTGTAGGGAAGACAGCTCTATTCTGCAGCATCAGGCTCGAATACTGTCTGGATTGTGTGAGTGGCAGCAGAGCTTTGGGTACTCCTTGAAAATAATCCTGGCTCTTGGAAGCAAACATTCTGTCCCCATGACTCAGTCAAATCTCCTTTCTAAGGAGGAGAAATGGCAAGTCGCTGGCTATTGGTGATTATATAAATGTCAACCTCTGTCCTTTGGAGGCTCCTCCAGTAGGAAGTCATATCCTACTTATCGTGATGTGCCCTGTGCCCTACTGATGATTTTTATTTTCTGGGTTTGATTGATTGATTGATTCTCCGTTAAGGAATGTAGGTTTCTCAAAGACATAGGCCATGTGGCTGTACCCCTTATAGCATCCCTTGCACACACTAAAGGTGCCTTGTCTGTTGCTTGATGGAACAGAGCATGTACCACTTTTTTAAAAAAATGGAATATAGAGTGTTCCAGTTAGCTCTCACTGTCAACTCGACACAATCTAGAGTCATCTGAGAAGAGCTCCTTGATTGAGAAAATGCCCAGATCAGATTAGACTGTGGTCACGTCTGTGAGGGATTGTCTTGATTGTTAATTGATTATAGGAAGACACAGCCGACTACAGGCAGCACGATTCCTAGGTAGGTGGCTCTGGACTAATAAGAAACCTAGCTAATGGCTCTTTGGAGCCCATTCCCTATGGTGGGATGCTTCACCCAGCCTTGATGCAGGGGGGAGGGACTTGGTCCTGCCTCAACTTGATGTGCCAGGCTTTGTTGACTTTCATAGGATGCCTTACCGTTTCTGAGGAGTGGATGAGGCTGGGTAGAAAGGAGGTGAGGGAGAGGAAAGGGTGGTTGGTATGTAAAATAAATTTTAAAATATAATAAAGAAAAAAGAAATCTAGCTAAGTATAAGCCAACCAGCAGGCCAGCAACTGTACTTCTTTGGCTGTGAATTGAGCTCCTATTCCTGTGCTGAATAGAAAGCAGCCTCCCCACAACTTCCTGCATTGAGCTTGCCTTGACTTTCCTCAATGTATACTATGGCCTAAAACTGTGAATTGAATAAATCCTTTCTTCCCCTTGGTTGCTTTTGGTGGAGTGTTTTCTCACAGTGACATAAAGAAAGCTAGAACACAAAATAAGAGAATTCCATTACTAGTATTTTAGAACCATAGAAAGTGTTCTGTACTATGTGCAACACAGACAAAGGTCATTACATAGATCGCCATAACATCAAGTAATTAATTCTCCACAGGGGTCAGAGAAACAGATTCTCTGTGTAGAATCATTTACTAAAGAACTGAAAAGGAGATGATTGATTGGTTGATTATTTTTTTTTTTTACCATTAGGCTAGCTGAGATTTGAACCACTGGATAAAGTATTTTGTGACAAGTATTTCTAGGTTTTTGGGACAGAGGTGTTTGTGGTTTTTACCATGCTGAGATGGTTCCCTGTACCCTATTCATGCTAAGCACTCATTCTACCACAGAGCCACAGGCTCAGCCCCATCTTGATATACTGGAGTGGGGGAGGTTTGGTGGCACAGATTTGTAATCCCAGTACTTGGGAAGCGAAGTTTAAGGCTAACCTGCATATATGAGACCCTGTTTCAACACATACACACACACACACACACACACACACACACACACACACACACAGGGGTGGGGGAGCAAAGTTTGAAAAAATAAAAATATTATTTAAACATCTGTTATGCCACAGTTCCATTGTGCCCTCCCCTTAGGAAGAATTTTTCCTAAGAGATTTTTGTTTTTCATTAAGTGAGTTTAAAATATGAAACTTTAAAAAAAAAGACTTAGACTCACTATATAGCCCTAGAATGCATTCTGTAGACTCAGTTGGCCTCAGATTCACAGTGATCCACCTGCCTCTGCCTCCTAAGTGCTTGAGACTAAAGGTTTGAGCCACAGCATCCACCTTGACTTTAAAATAGTATGTCTAGAAAAATCACTGGTTTGGGGTTATAACACTAATAAACTCACATACAAAATATAAAGATATATAAGTGTTATTTTTTTCTAAAAGGGTGAGTTCCAGGACAGCCAAGGCTACACTGAGAAACCCTGTCTCAAAAGCCCAAAAAAATAGAAATAATAAAATAAAAAAGAACGCTATTTTATATTTAGATCAGGAGTTTTGTATATTAACAAATTAAGGAAAAACAATCTACTGCCTACTGTTTTCTCATTCTCTAGCTCTTCGCCACAGTCACACAGCAGGGAAACCTGCTAAGAAAGAGCAGCCAGATAGAGCTGTGACTGAAGCCACTTGGAGCCCTAATTCTTTAGGCAGAAGCCGTGTGACTCTTGTCCCATCCCCGGCCCCAGCAGCAGGACTCACCATGAGGAAGCAGGATCAGCATCCCTTGGCCTTCCTTGCACCAGGTGGCTCAGAGACATTGAGCTGTAGGATCCCTACCTGGAAGGAGAAAGGGCAAGTCACCAACCAGGTCATAGGCTACCCAAGACACATCCTGTCCACACCTCCACGCTTGGCTATGCCCAGCCGCTCTCCCTTCTAGTGTTAGACTAAGAGAAACCAGTGAGGAAAGCCGGTCAGAAGCTCGCTCCAGTTTCTCCGTATCCATCAGTTTGGAAACCCTTCATCAAGCAAAGGCCCGACAGCAACTCAGGTATCACTCAGGATCCAGCAACAAAATAGACGGTGGAAAGCATCTGTGAAGAACACTTAAAGGTCCCTCTGAAATGCTGCTTACCATCCTGGGGGTCTGGCCCCAGCGCCCCCAGCCCCTCCATAGCACAGGAAATGTTGCAATAGGAAATAAAGGCCGGAGCAGGGGGCACACAGACGACGAGCAAGGGCTGTGCGTGCAGATCTGACTGCTTGTTTTGTTTTTTTCTGGAGATATAGTGGCTGGAAAATCCGCTGTATCAGATGAGGATTAGCAGAGATGAGAGAACGTGTCTGCCTTTTGAATCGCCAAAGCCAATGACAGATTTTGCTGACACACCAATCAATTTTATCCCCAAGCCGTGGCCACCCCAGGCTTCCTGCCCTCTCTCTCCATCTGCCAAGCCCCTTTCGTTTCTTAAAACCTTCCCACCCACATTCAGCCGCGTACCAGACCCCAGCCCTAGCCCCACCCACCAGCCATAAGCAGTCAAAAATCTGCTTCCTGCTCCCAAATGGTATTAGCAGCCTTTTCAACAAGGTCACATTATGTAATATAGAGGGCTGGAGCAGGGACCGGGAGTTTGACCTAACAGTTGAACAATTTGCCCAAATTGCCAACTGCCGACTTCATCTGTTTGGAGAGGTGGATGATCCCCAAGCAGAAGGTGGCAGAGGCCTTTTGAAGCAGGCAAGAGGCTTTGATGTTATGCTTACAGCCATACTTGGCCTAAGGCCATTAAGTCCAGAATCTAGCTGAGGTTTTACAACCCGGTAGCCCTGAGCATAAGCTCTTGTCGCTCTGTTGGGTTTGTGGATGCGACATTTTCACAAGTGTCTGCCTGTAAGGTTTGCCGAGACTGATGTCGAGGCAGCAGGAGCAGGTTTCTCTGGCCACTGTCCACAGTTCAGCGATCCTCCATGCTCCTTGTCCCAGTAGCTCCTCCATGACCTAAGCAGGGGGGGGGGGTGCTCCTTTGTGAGACATCAGCCCCAGGAATCCATAAAAACATGCTAAATTCTGGCTCTTCTGGCAGGAAGCTTGACATTCCCTTCCCGTAATAAGAGCTCTGGCTGTGAATCCAGCCATCCTAGGTCATTGTACCCTGGGAAATAATTGTTTCCTTACACTTGGAAAGCCAAAATATGACTGAATTGGTCTAAGCTCTGATACGAAGGAACTAATGGGAATGGGACAGGTGGAAGAAATGCAGGGAAGGAAACATCTTCCTCATCCCAGATAAAGTCTTTATTCCTATCTTAAGTGAGAGTGGTAGACATAGTCTTTGTAAGCCCCACTGTTAGGGGGGTCCTCGTGGAGTAGTGAGGTCCAAAGGCCTAACATAAATGATGCAAAATTAGGATTACAGGAAAACGCATTGGTAAACAAAGTGTCCAACCGCGGAACCACCCTGCTCTCCACCCCCCAACCACATACCTATATGCGCTCCCCCTCCCCCAGCCAAGAGATGGGCTAAAACTGCCTGGATCCAGAGGAGCAGGCACAGAGTGTCAGAGATGCTAATGAGACGGGTGGTCCCTTAGGTTGTGTGTGGAAGCACATGCAAAAGAGCATGGGCAACGAAGCCTGTGCTGTACAAAGAAGCTGCAGAGCCCACACTATGGACCATAAATGCCTTGGCCTCGTCCTAGTACAGAGCTTGCCATTTGTACTGCTCAACTTTCCCCTGTTCTAACTTCCTCCCTCGAAAGTGTCTTTTTCTTTTAAAGAAAAAAGATTTACTTTTTCAACTCCTTTTTAGTTATGCGTAGGTGGATGTGTCTGCATATGGGTACGTGCACATGGTTATGAGGAGGCCCCGGGGTATCTGTTCCCCTGGAGCTGGGTTACAGGTGGTTGTGAGAATCCAACTCCAGTCTCTGGAAGAGCAGCAGGTGCTCGTAGCCTTAACTGCCAAGGCATCTCATTAGCTCCCAAGTGTACCTTTTCTAACAACCCATTCCTGTTTCTACCACTATGTGTCTCTGCTATAGCTCTTTTCTGCAGCACAAAGCCTGGAACCCCTCGGGAGGAACCCGCCAAACCCTGATACCCACCAAGATCACGTGAACCTGAACCTTCACTTCAGGCGTCCCTGGGAAGTCTCCGTGCCTCTTCTCTCCCCACTTCAGCCCGCCAGAGTCTGAAACACAGCTATAAATGTGTCTGGTCACACTGCCCCTGCTGGCAGTTTATCAAGTCCTGTTTGCCTTCATCATCAAGCCTAGGGGCCAACAGCTCTAGCAGAAGCGTCTTCCTGAGGAAAGTGCGTCTCCCCAGTGGAAAGGGAAGGGAACATTGAGGAACAAGTAGCCTTTCTTCGTCATCTGTGCCCTACTGACGGACCAGCCTAACTCTACTTTAAGATTAGAAGCCATCTTCTTACAAGGTCAAAATACGTTCATTCCTGTTTTCCTTCAAACTTAAATTGGACCATGTCTTAACCCATTTGCTGGAATTTGACATGTTCCGTACTCTATGCCCTGACATTCACACTGATAAGCTAAGATGTTCTGCCAAATAATTTTGAAATGTTTGGCCAAATTCCCACGTAACCAAAATATCCCCTGGCCCTTGAAAACCTCCTAGTTTTGCAGGTTTTTTAAAGCTATACAAACCCCATTGTCTTCTGTGTTCATGGCTGTGTCTCAAACCCTGCTTTAGAGAGAGAGCCCTGTCTGAGAGAAAATAAAGCTTGCTTAGTTCAACTACAAGAATTCGGACAATGGTCTTTACTCTCATGTGGTGGTAGTAACACTATCTGTAGCGAACAGGTCTGTGTGCACACATGCACCCAGGGAAGTCTCACAACACTTTGTCTCAATTAAACAAATGTAGAAGGCCCTTCTTTGGGTAGCTTTCTGGCTTGTGGCATGATACATTTGACAGTGGGAGGGAGGAAGAGAGTGGTAAATGAAAATGCGAGAGAGGGGAGTTGGAGCCATTTCACCTCTGCCAGTCTTTTTTCCAAAGGAAGCGTCCTCAGAGGAGACAGGCTAGTGTTTGTGTTCTTTCTGCCCACTGGTTTAGAATCGGCCACAGTTGACGGGAAATATAAAACTCTGCCTTTTCAGAGACTTTGAGTGTGACAGGACCTTTCACAGCACAGTTGTGCGTGATCCGTGGACCTAAAATGCCAAGCACTTACAGTCATCAGAGCCTGACCTGGGACAGCATGCATTGTCGCATGCTGAAGAATACTAAGGGCTCAGACTCCTGTGAGAACCCGCAAAGCAGAGGCAGGCTTTAGTCTGAATTATTACAGAAGAATGAGAAATGAGGAAAAGGAAAAAGTTAAGGAAAGTGGGAGAAACACCTGAGAATCAGGGAGAGGCTTAGAGGATGGGGTGGAAATCTGTTGAGTTCCCCTTTTCTAGAGTTTCTATGGGGCAATGGCAGAAACTGGACAAAGACTAAGAAAATCTCTTCTGAGACTGGTTATTTTTCCAGAAGGGCCCACATGCTCTAAGCCTGCTGCCCTGGCCCAATGGGGAGTTGGTCACGTGCTATTTATGCACTACCCACCTACTTAGGGGTAGGTGAAGCTTCTCTCTAGTTGTCTCTGACTCCAACTTTGACCTTGACTGTCTACTAGCTGTTGTTACCGGAATTCTGCTTACGACCTGGCCCATCTACTAGCTGTTGTTATGGGAATCCTGGTCCGCTGTCCGTCCAATTGAATAGAGCGTTTGGTTTGAGAGGTAGAGCTCACACCCAGCTGGTCGGAATGGATCAATAAGTCCTGGATAGACCCAGGATGAGAGAAAGAATGCTCCAGGGAGAATAGGCAGACCAGAAGGTTGTACTGTCTTTTGGGGGGGGGGGGTGCTGGAAGGCAAATGGTAGCCGGGTGCATCGTGGTCGTAGTGACTGTATCAGGTTCTCATCTTATATGTGTCCCTAGGTTTTATAAAATGATAAATGGTGAAATCTTATCATCTTAGTCACTTGGTCAATGTTCTAGTTTCATTCTGTTGCTGTGACAAACACCATGACTGAAAGCAACTTAGGGGAGGAAAGAATTTACTTGGTTTATACTTCCGAGACACTGTTCATCACTGAGAGAGGTCAGGGCATTGACTCAAGCAGAAATTTGAAGCAGAAACTATGGAGGAGCGCTGCTTGCTGGCTTATTCACAGGCTCGTGTTTAGCTAACCTTCTTATACAGCCCAGAACCACTTGCCCGGAGAGTGGTGCTGATGTGGGAGGGCCCAGCCCACTATGGACAGCATCATTCCCTGGGCAATGGTCCTGGTCTGTATACAGAAGCTAGCTGCACATGAGCCTGGGAACATGATCAACCTGTAGCTTCACCATGGCAGAGCGTGAGCTCTACCAGGTACCAAGATTCAGCTGCAGTCTTTCTTAGTTACCTCAGATTTAGCTCCTTGTCTAGGCAGTGCTGTGAGGTGGTCTCCCAGCTAGAAGCTTCTTATTAGAAGCCACCTTTGCTAACAATTAAGCCTGTTCATTCGAAGCAAGACTCTGTGAAAGGCCAATAGTGTTTTCCGTGTGCTGCTGAAGGGCTTTGGCGGGAGCAGGGCAGCCTGAGTCAAAGCCCTGTCTTTCCTCTTGTCAGTCTAGCGTCATTATCTCACATCCAACTACAAGCCTTCTTCCTCTTCCTCAGTATCTCAGATGCTTACATTTTAACCCTTAACCTTCCTTTTAATCCCACTCTCTTTTCTTGATGCAACATATGTGGGCAAGTTCCAGCTCCCCACGGGGTCCTTTTTCCCTCACCCCATACAGAATGTGTGGTTTGTTTTTTTTTTGGGGGGGGGTTGCTTTTTTTTCGAGACAGAGTTTCTCTGTGGCTTTGGAGCCTGTCCTGGAACTCCCTTTGTAGACCAGGCTGGCCTCGAACTCACAGAGATCTGCCTGCCTCTGCCTTCCAAGTGCTGGGATTACAGGTGTGCGCCACCACTACCCGGCTTTCCCATATCGAATGTTATGGCCTATCTTAGGTTCCTGGCTTCAGGTGTTCAGAGAGACTCCTTGAGTGCTCTCAGGAACTAAGCCACATTAGAGTCCTTTACCTACAGCCTCACTTCACATGCCTACACACATCCCATAGAGACTAGACCATTGTGATGGGCTAACGTGTGTGCACTGGGCATGTTTAGCCTGACACCAAATGAAACTAAGAAGCAAGGAGTCCTGTTTCCCTTGTTGAGAGGCAGAGACCTGGAAGGGAAAGAAGTCTCGGCCATAATTCAGCCCTTTATTTATGGATGCCAAGACTGCAGCATGAAGTGTTCTCTGTCTTTCATTCCTTCAGAAGCAGATCCTGAGACAAGGACACAAATGGAATTACTTTCTTTGGGAGGTGATTGACAGACGCTCCATGGGGGAGCACAGGGGTGGTGGACATA